CTCAAATAGAATCATGGACCAATCTTCTCCCGGTACGGAGAAGGCAAAACTCTAGTAGGAAATGGGTTAATGAGACTAGGTACTTCCACTCAGAATCCGAGTCTTTCACTCAGTAATCTGTCTGTTCTGCTCATCATAGAGCCTGCGCGTGAAGCATCAAACCCAGAAAACCCGCACTGGGCGTGAAGAAAATATAGGCTAGGACTCCAAACTCATCAGCAACATCGGCCATGCATGCACAAAACATATCGAGAACAAACCGGCGAGTCGAGCTGAGCCATCGGAGGCTGACTCGGAGTGAAACAGCTTAGACGGGCTTTCTTGACGAGGGGTTTATGAGATTCAATGAACGAAGTGAAGAAGCTTTGGGGTTTGATCCTTGAAATTCATCGCTGGGGAGATGAATGAATTTGACGCGGTCGCCGGCAGAGGTGAGTTTTATAGGGGTTAACTTTGGAATCGGAGGGTAATTTCATGACGAGGACCGTGATGGAGATGCGTTGGTGGCGTTGGCCGAGAGCTTGCCACTCCACAGTGGAGCCGAGGTGGCCGACGCCTGGTGTAGGGATGAAGACGGCTCGCTTTGTTGTTCATTGAAGCTGTTGTTGTGTGTGGATTGATTGTTTTTTCTTTTGGTGAGTAGGTAATGGATTTTATATAAAAAATGGAAGTAAAATTATTTATTAAAAACAAGACGATAACTAAGTGATGATGTCATGCTTTGCTAACAGCGAGACACCTGTATTCTATGTAATAATATTACTAAGTATGGCAAATTGTTTAAAGTCTAAGTCTTGCTTGACTTACCAAGTTTCCATGCTCGTTGTTTACCAAGTCCATCAAGTCCACTTGCTCTATATAATGCTTAGGTCGAGGTTGACGTAGAGAGTAAGAATCGATGCTTACATCTGCTCGAGCGCTGTAGGCAATCTCTTTCACCTGATCCTCATCGAAGCTCCATGAACACAAACTGATGATGGCGGCTGATCATCAAAGCCACTCCATTATCTCTGCTTTTGTTTTGGACCCACCTGAGTCCTGACCCTAGGTCAATGCTATTACCCTCAAGATTCAAATATGGTCCTACAGGATGAACGGGGGGATGTTGGTTTCACCATTTGAGAAAGACTTGATCGCATAGGATTCCAGCTCCTACTAATGAATTTATAACAATCCTGAACTCTCCGAAAGCTCCTCGCTAGCTCAAACCCAATCAGGACCAATCTTTCTCCAAGTATACACAAAGGCAAAACTTATAGCAGAATTGGGTTAACAAGCTCGGTACTCCAACTCAGAATCTGAGTCTTTGTCAAAGTAGTATCTTGTTCTTAAAGAGATGCCTGAAAAGCGCCTGGCGTGAAGCATCAAACCCGATAACCCGCACTGGACGTAAGAAGAAATATAGCTAAGAACTCCATGCTCATCAGTCCGCAAATCGATCATGCTGGTACAAAACATTCGAGAAACAACCCGGCGAGTCGAGGTGAGTCATGGGAGGCTACTTGGAGTGAACAAGCTTAGAGACGGCTTCTTTGACGAGGGTTTTATGAATCATTCGAATGAAAGAGGGAAGATTTTTTGGGTTGGTTAATCCTTGTACGGTCATCCATTGGGGAGATGAAGAAGCTGATGCGGTCGCCAGAAGAGAGTGAGTTTAGATAGATGTCTTTGGATCGGAGGGTAATTTCATGACGAGGACCGTGATGGAGATGCGTTGTGGCGTGAGGAGGAGCTTGGCCAACCCACGGTGCAGCCGAGGTGCCTACGCCTGGTGCAGGAATGAAGACGAGCTCGCTTTGTTATTCATTGAACCTATTTATTGACTGTTTTTCATTGGGTGAGTAAAATTCAATGAAAGTTTACAGAGATTGAACTAAATATTTATTAGAAAAATGATGGAGCAAGTAAGTTGATTATTTTCTGAGACTCCAAGTAAGTTTTCACAGCATGTGATATAAAACCAGTAGACTATATCAATTTAAAGATTCTTCATCATCGAGGTCAAAGACAATAATTTATTTGTATAGAAAAATAAATGTTCTAGGTAAAGTGATAAAGCGAAGACAATTAACTATAATACTATCTAATGACATTAGAAGTAGAAGATGAAGGCGGCCTTGATTACAGGCATATTTGCATTTGCTTCAATTCAGGACTGAACTCTCACATGGATTAATTTTCAACTCTTCTGTCATTATCTTCTGAGTTTATTTTCATTAAACTGAGAGACGGCCCTAATCAGCCATTTTTCATTTAGAAGATGAGCGTACGGTAAATATGGTCTTTTTGATTCCGCGATCCATTTAAAATTGAAAACTCTGTTCCAGGGAGAAGGAAATAAAGCAATAAAACCAAGAGAATCAAAGTGAAAGTATGCCAATGTCAAATCTTGTCTATGAATATTTTTTTCAACTTAATGATGTCATTGATTTCATTGAATGGGTTTCACTATATCGCTTAGATGAAATGATATTGTCCTATATATTTTTTTTTATTATACATATATACGACATAGTGAAATTTTTCGAATATTAATGTGACGTGGTACTGTTGTGTGAAATTTGTCCCCAATGCTAAAAAATCAACCGGTAACCTTTGAGAGTTCCAATTTTTGAAACTATGAAATTACCATTTTGACCTGAGTTTGATCAAAATAAATTGACATTTATATAATGAAATTTTGTCAATTTAAACCCAACAAGAGAGTAGATTGAAAATCAAAATGCAATTCCTGATTGTAAACAAAAAAGAAAAAAAAAATTGGAGGGCAATACAAAGATCTTCAATCGGATAGAAAAAACTAGTAGGTTTTAAATGGGAGATCACAAAATGGAGTTAAAATCTCATTGTCATCACAATTCACATTCAAAAATATACAAAGCCAATTCATGTGCATCGTCACAATTTCATTCAAAATGTCAAATCCAATCCAATCTCCGTCTCATACACTACATGCGACCCGATAGTAAATCGTGACCAATATTGATCGGTCCTAGGTGACCAAAAATGGTCATAAAATCAGGTTTTAATTCTGGTGCTTCTTGTACTCAAACCCTTCTGATCTCCGGGTTTGACACGAAACAATTAAAACAATAACATTTACTCAGGGACATTCCACAAACTATAATACATACAGTATAACTAGTTTGTCATGTGAACATATCCTTAAACAACGACACAGGTCATGTACTGGGTTCAACAATGAAGCAGCAGGAAACAATATCAAAAATTCTCCTACCGCACAATTTACAAAGTAACAAGAGGTCGAACCTCCAACTTTTGCTGCCACATCTAAAATTCAATTAAACCATTCCTTTCCACTTTTCAGCAATCTACAGCACTAGAAGCGAACAATTACTCAGATTGTACCTCCATGGAAGCAATTGGCATAATTCATTCACACTTAAATCACACCACTAAAAAGAGTCCCTAGGCATCTTCAAGGCTACAACAGAGCTCAACATTACCAATAAACAAAACAAGTGTAAAATGCAATCTTATAGAAAACAACGACAGTGCAATTAACAATGGGACATAATTTATAGCCCAGATTCCAGTGCCCTTAAAAATAATTTGATCATGTAGTAAAATAAATATATATATACATAAATAACTATCATACTAAGTATGTGAGCCCATCAATCCATCAGCTTCTCTCTACTTTCTGCAATAACCACAAACCCCACATGCAGGAACCATAGTCTAAGCTGAATCAAACACTACCATTAGCGTTAGATGTACTGTATGCGCATTTTCCACTAGGTTAGTGGATCTGATTCAAATGTTCCGCCTCTGATCTGATCCACTGGATGCTGTTGAACTACCTTTGCTACTTTTTCTGGTTCGACTGTAAATTGGTGCAGTCTCCTTCCTCGCTTGGCTGCTCTACCCGCCTCTGCTTTGCTCTGCCCCTGTTTTTAACTATTGGGCGGGCTGCGTGTTCAGATCTTATAAGCTTGCTCAATTCAACATACGAAAACCAACTATAGTTATTGAAAAGACTACGTACTTTAATAATAATAACAGCAAAAAGACACAAGAGTCATCCTTTTTGGAGCTGAGGTTAATGTAATGTTCCAAATCATCCAGCCGAGCATGGTTCACCACCAAAAGAATCCAATTACACCACAAAGCAAGTCAGAGATGTTTCATTACGAAACGCCCATTTCCAGGTTCCCACCAATGCATTCGGCTAAGCTCTAAACTAACATGCAAACTTCAATTTTTTTCCCAACCGATACATGCAATCCAGTCAGCCTATAGTTTCATCAAAGACTTCAGGCTTTTATCAAATTGTTCAGCTAAAAGAAAAGGAATTGAACATGCAACACATCAACTCAAACCGGTCGAACAAATAAAGCCAATTTTTGCATCACACTCACTAACATATATGCATCAAACACCACAATAAACTTCAACACATTACGTCAAAACAGAAAATCAAACTTCTAGAAAAGAAGTTTTGGAATCATAGAACTACTAGGAAGGGACAAATGAAAGCCTAAACAAATTTTAAAAAAGGGATCAGAAGACCAACTTGTCACTAGAAGTCACCAAAACCTCGCCGTTTGCCCAAAAAAATCACTGTCGACAACCATTAACCCCTATCGTTAACACTATACACGAACCCAAAACCCTAAACTCGCAAACAGCCACTCCACTGCCAGTCTACCTCGCCGTTAACACTCACCGGTCATCGTAAATAGCCACTAGAAGGCAGTCGAAGACGTCGACCCAAAACCCAAGAGTCTCCGCTTCAAGAACACGCATAAGTCGAATGACTACTGCCTTTCTTTTACAGTTTCTTTCAAATGTCAACTCTGATAGACACGTGTCAACGCCCAAGCCCTATACTTCAATTTCAAATTTTAATTTTGGATTTAAATTATTAATTAACAATAATGTCCTTACATCACAAAAACTACTACCGGAACTGACAATTGGGTGGAAAAGTGCCATTAAGGGAAACCTTGTGTGAGAAAAAAATCGTTTAAGCGAAATAAAAACAAAAAACCAAGAGAATCCATCCAAAGTATGCCAATGTCAAATCTTATACATGAATAGTTTTTCCTGTAATTTTATTCCAAATTGCTAATCACATCATCGATGAAGCAACCCAATGAAGTGAATGAAGATCCACCTTCCATCATGGCTTTTCTACTCTTTTCGCTCATCTCCTTCAAGTTTTTCCTTGTCTTATTATCATACTCCATCAATTTCCTGATCCCTCTCTCTATCTCCCCAGCGCTCACAATCACTTGATTCTCTCCTGAATAATCCTTCCTGTAATCCATTTTAATTTCAACCGCTAATCCCAACTCAATCACCATTTCAAAGGCATTCAATTGTTGCTCGTTCCCTATAGGCCACGTCGCAATTGGAACGCCAAACCATATGCTCTCTAGTGTAGAATTCGGTAATAATAAACTAAAATATTATAATTAAAAAAATATAAATCATACACCTATAACGAAAAATAGAGAATAATTAATTCAATGATCATAAAAAATAATAAAATCAGGATTAATATTACCGTATTTTTCAAAACGTATTATTGACAATATACCGTATTAAACCCGTATATACCCGTATCATATTTTTCCCGTATCCAAATTTTAAGGCCGAATTTTTATAAACGTATTTTTCATCGTTTGCCGTATCATTCCCGTAAAATTCCCGTACCGTTTTTTTACCGTACCCGTATTTACTAACTATGCAAGAGAGTAGATTTGAAAATCACAATGCAATTCGTTGAATTGTAAACCAAAAAAGAGAAAAAAAAAAAGGAGGGCAATACAAAGATCTTCAATCTGGATAAAAAAAACTAGTAGGTTTTAAACTGGGAGAACACAAAATTGGAGTTAAAATCACTTCATTGTCAGTCACAATTCACATTCAAATATATCAAAGCCAATTCATTGTCATCGTCACAATTCTCATTCAAAAATTTCAAATCCAATTCAATCTCCATCTCCCTATATGCCACCATTATAAATCTATGATCAGTATTATATACATAGAGCAAAAATATGACCAGTATTTGATCTGTCCTAGATGACAAAAATGGTAAATAAACATCAGGTTTTAATTCTGGTGCTTCTTGTACTACAAACCCTTGTGATCTCCAAGGGTTATGACCTGAAACAGATTAAAACAATAACTTTTACTCAGAATTTCCACAAACTTATAATACATACACTATATAATATTTGTAGTTGAACATATCCTAAAAACGACACAGGTCATGTAATGGAGTTCAAAATGAAGCATCATGAAACAATATCAAAAGATTCCTCATAGGCCACATATTTACAAAACTAGAAAGATGTCTAACCTCAAACTTTTATCATGCAACCATCAAGAAATTCAATTACAAAACATTACATTTCCACTTTCAGCAATCTACTGCAACTAGAAGCGAACAATTACTCAGAATTTATCCTCCATGGAAGCAATTGGCATAATTCATTCACACTAAATCACACACATATAAAAAGATCCCTAGGCATCTTCAAGGCTAACAAAAGAGCTCAACATTAACAATAAAGCAAAACAAGTGTAAAATGCAATCTTATAGAAAACAACGACAGGCAATTGAACAATGGGACATAATTTAGAAGCCAAGATTCCAGTGTCACCTGAGAAAAATAATTTGATCATTATAAAATAGAATATATACATACATATATATATACTAAAGTATGTGAGCCCATCAATCCAGTCAGCCTTCTACCTCTACTTTCTGCAATAACCCAAACCCACATGCATGACCATAGTCTAAGCTGAATCAACAACTCACATTAGCTTAGATGTAGCTGTATCTGCATTTCCACTAGGTTAGTTGGATCTGATTCAAATGCTTCCGCCTCTGATGCTGATTCACTGGATGCTGTTGAGACTCCCTTTGCTACTTTTTTCTGGGTCGACTTAAATTGGTGAAGCTTCTGCCTTCCTCGCTTCTGCTCTACCCGCCTCTGCCTAGGCCTTTGGAGGTGCCTTTGCCTCTGCTTGCTCTGCCCCTGTTTTTTAAACTATTGGCGGGCTGCTGTTTCAGATTCATTATAAGTCTTGCTCAATTCAACATCGATAACCAATTAATCTTATGAAAAGCTAAGTACGTTAATATATAATTAACAAGCAAAAAGACAACAAGAGTCATCCTTTTTGGAGCTGAACTTAATGTAATTGTCCTCCAAATCATTCCAGCCGAGATGTTCAACCCAAAACAATCCAATTACCACCCAAAAGCAAGGCAGAGATTTTTCAGTACGAAACGCCCATTTCCAGGTTCCCACCAATGCATTCGGCTAAGCTCTAAACTAACATGCAAACTTCAAATTTTTTCCCAACCGATACATGCAATCCAGTCAGCCTATAGTTTCATCAAAAACTTCAGCCTTTTATCAAATTGTTCAGCTAAAAGAAAAGGAATTGAACATGCAACACATCACCTCAAACCGGTCGAACAAATAAAGCCAATTTTTGCATCACACTCACTAACATATATGCATCAAACACCACAATAAACTTCAACACATTACGTCAAAACAGAAAATCAAACTTCTAGAAAAGAAGTTTTGGAATCATAAAACTACTAGGAAGGGACAAATGAAAGCCTAAACAAATTTTAAAAAAGGGATCAGAAGACCAACTTGTCACTAGAAGTCACCAAAACCTCGCCGTTTGCCCAAAAAAATCACTGTCGACAACCATTAACCCCTATCGTTAACACTATACATGAACCCAAAACCCTAAACTCGCAAACAGCCACTCCACTGCCAGTCTACCTCGCCGTTAACACTCAGCGGTCATCGTAAATAGCCACTTGAAGGCAGTCGAAGACGTCGACCCAAAACCCAAGAGTCTCCGCTTCAAGAACACGCGTAAGTCGAATGACTTCTGCGTTTCTTTTACAGTTTCTTTCAAATGTCAACTCTGATAGACACGTGTCAACGCCCAAGCCCTATACTTCAATTTCAAATTTTAATTTTGGATTTAAATTATTAATTAACAATAATGTCCTTACATCACAAAAACTACTACCGGAACTGACAATTGGGTGGAAAAGTGCCATTAAGGGAAACCTTGTGTGAGAAAAAAATCGTTTAAGCGAAATAAAAACAAAAAACCAAGAGAATCCATCCAAAGTATGCCAATGTCAAATCTTATACATGAATAGTTTTTCCTGTAATTTTATTCCAAATTGCTAATCACATCATCGATGAAGCAACCCAATGAAGTGAATGAAGATCCACCTTCCATCATGGCTTTTCTACTCTTTTCGCTCATCTCCTTCAAGTTTTTCCTTGTCTTATTATCATTCTCCATCAATTTCCTGATCCCTCTCTCTATCTCCCCAGCGCTCACAATCACTTGATTCTCTCCTGAATAATCCTTCCTGTAATCCATTTTAATTTCAACCGCTAATCCCAACTCAATCACCATTTCAAAGGCATTCAATTGTTGCTCGTTCCCTATAGGCCACGTCGCAATTGGAACGCCAAACCATATGCTCTCTAGTGTAGAATTCCAACCACAGTGTGATACGAACCCTCCGATCGCCTTGTGGGCTAAGATTGACACTTGGGGAGCCCATCCGATTACTTTTCCAATCTTGACCGTTCGATCAAGAAATCCTTTTGGCAGCACGTTCGTTGGATTTGTGTAGTCACTCGGTATGGGGAACTGACCCTTTGGTGGAGGTTGACGTAAGGACCATAAGAATCGATGCCCACTCTGCTGGCGACGCACAACTAATCTACTTCCACCCCTGATCCTCATCGAAACTTCCCATGCTCCGAAGCATAGGAAAACACCGACGATGCGGGCTGATCATCAAGCCACTCCATGATCTCTGCTTTTGTTTTGGACCCACCTGACCCTAAATCATGCTATCACCCTCAGATTCAAATGGGTCCTACAGAATAAACGGTGGGATGTTGTTTTTCACCATTTGGAAAGACTTTATCATATTGGATTCCAGCTCCATAAATGAATTTACAACAATACCCTTAACCCTTCGGAACCTCCTGCTTGCTCAAACACAATCATAGACCAATCTTTCTCCAAGTACGCAGAAGGCAAACCTTAGCAGGAATTGGGTTACGAGACTCGGGACTTCCAACTCGGTATCCGAGTCTTTCAACTCAGCGGTGTGCATGTTCTGATCATCATAAAGAGCCTGCGCGTGAAACATCAAACCGAGAGACCCTGCGCTCGATGTGGTAGTATAATATACTCGGAACTCCAAGCTCATCAGCAATTCGATCATGACTGTACAAAACATGTCGAAACGAACCCGGCGAGTCTGGTGAGTCATCGGAGGCTGATCGGAGTGAAGAAGCTTAGAGACAGCTGCTTTGACGAGGGTTTATGAGTTCATATATAGGAAGAATTTTCTGGGATTGGATCCAGGAAGTGGAAGGTGATCGTTGGGAAGATGAACGAAGTTGATACTGTGGCTCCAGAGATTGAGTCGAGGTAGGCGTTGACTTTGGAGTCAGATGGTACTTTCATGACGAGGACGGTGATGAGAGGTGGTGGTGGTGGTGGAGCAGGAGCTTGGCAGCTCCAGGTGAGACGAGTGGCCGATGCCGGTATAGGAATAAAGACGAGCTGAGCTTTCTTCTTCATTGTGTGAAGATTGATGAGCCCTTTTGTTGGTTGTGAGTAAAATTATATGAAGCTTTTATGATTTACATACTAAATAATTGAAATGATGTCACTGCTTTGCTAACATTGAAAAGAGGAGAAACCGTGTAACTCATGCAATGAGTGCGCTGTGTATGCATGTCACTGCTTTGCTACAGTGAAAAGAGGAGAGACCGTGTAACTCATGCAATGAGTGTGCTGTGTATGCCATGTCATCATACAACGCATATACTATGAAGGAGTATATCCCATACTAATAAATCCAATGAAATAGTGACACGTGTTATTAATTACCTCTTTCACCCGCCTATGACTTGATTAATCAATAACTACCTTATATGTTCATCAATAACTAACACAGATGATGATTATGAAAACTAAATTACTTAGATGAGACAATGAAACTACCTACATAAATATTTTTCTCATTCATCTATACGATATAATGAAATTTCTCGAATATCTTTGTATTGCTGAGGTGATAAGTATTATTTTTTTATTTTTTAACCACATTGATGAAATTTCATGAACCACTGTTACTTCTATAAATTCAGTGTGAAATTAATAAAAAATGTTATTTACGATGCTGAATTCATATGAAAAAGTTCAGCATCACTTCATATGAACTTAGAATGTCTGGTTGAGGTTAAGTTCTGTAGCTCCTTCAATCTCTCAGGTTTAATTCATTTGGTCTGCAGAGGAACACTGGTGCAAACTGGCAGAAGCGGTAGATGGCGTCGACTCCCTTGGCAACTCCACGATCATGCTGCCCGATTGCAGATGATGATGTGCTAGACGAGAATATGTCTTATTGATTTTGCAATCCATGTAACATTCGTTCCTGTCACAATTATAATTGATATTTTCAATAAAGGGAAAATGAAATTACAATTTTTGAACTAATTATCTTGTGAACCCATTAGAGTATCACATCGCAACATATCAAAACTTTCTCAAGGAGAAGAACACAAACAAAAGACCAGAGAATCCAAAATAGGCATTTTCTTCTAACTTATGAATGTCAAATCTTATATGTCAATAAAACGGCATAAACTTTTGCTCGGGTTTTATCTGTTTAAAACTTATTCTTGTCTAGGATCAAAATTAGTTCAAATTTCCCTTTCAATCATCCATCATCAAGCATAAGATCCAACCCTCCAATTACCAATTATCTACCTGAAATGGTTTCATATGTTAGATATGAAAGATGTCTAAACTATCACTTAAAGAATCCTACAGTTTCAAGAATAAGTATCTAAAACTTAAATATAGAAACTTATGACAATTTTTTCTCACAATTTTTATATAGTTCTCAGTTGAATCTTTCATTTTCTTCTTTGTTTGCACCTGAAAGACAGATTCTAGATAAAATTTAGGTAAGGTCACTTTACAATATGAAGAAAGTGCTTTGATCACAACAGAGGAAAGAACATAGAAGATATCCATAACTAAGAAGCAATGAGAAAGCAGCCACTGCAGTTAGGAAAGTGTCAAGATCCATAAAAGAAATTCATGCACCATATATAATAACGCCCCGTTGCTGCTGAGCATGAGTGATATAATTTTTTTAAAGCGCAAATTTTACCATCATGCTAGGATGAGAGTTTTTCTGTATTTTACCTGATCAATGAGATAGACCTGTTTGAATAAAGTGAGCAGTTTTTTCAGTTTACTCTGATTTAGTCTCCATTGCTTAACTTGACCACTGAAGGCCATGCAACATCCAGATTATTTGCGTCATCCTAAACACTGAGCTGCTCAACTGAGCAAGTTGAGCAGTGATCGAAATTGTCTCGGATTACATTTCCGGGAGCAAAGAGAGAGCGATACTTCAACAGCCAACATTTTTGCAGCTAGTTGTCTTCACTAAACATGGTTTTCATTCTCCCATTTTCAAAGTCTATACGACTATTCCGGTTCATTCATTAAACTGGAGATGGCATCTAGATTGGAGCTTTGGCTGGCCCTATAACCAGCATTTTCATATCCATGGCTAATCCTTCCAACATCTCATATATCTCATCACTTTGCGGATGCTCTTGATCCTTAGACGCAAAACGGTTCACATAACCTCCAGTATCAATCCAAAACATCCAACTTCTTTTCTCAACCCTCTTTTTCTCATCTCTTTCCTTACTTTGTCAACATTTTCCCAGTTTCCTTCTTCTGCATAGATATTTGAGCAAACATGATAGCCCGTCATTCTGTTTCTTGTATCTAATTCAGCAACTTCTTGGCAACAACTTCTCCCAATTCAGATTTTCCATGAAGTTTGCAAGCACCAAGAAGTGAACCCCAAATTTCCAACACATTCCCTCTTCACCTAATTTTGGACAAACTCATAGCTTCAACCACCCCTCCAACCCTACCTAATATATCCGCAACACAGTAGTGCTCAGTTGAGGGCTGAATCTTGTATTTACTCTCCATCAACTCAAATATTTGAAGACCTTCATCAACCAAGCCAGCATAACTACAAGCAGACAACACTGCAACAAAAGCAACAGCATCAGGTTCAATGTCACATTCTTGCATTTTATGAAACAAAGAGAGAGCTCTTTCGCTCATCCCATGTTGACCATAACCCAATATCATTGTGGTATATGTGACAGGATTTTTTTCAGAGGTTTGGGCAAACACATTTTCAGCATAAGAAATTGACCCTGACTTAGAATACATATCAACAAGAGCAGAGCCTACAAAGACATTTGGGTCCAACAAATGGCGGATAGAAAATCCATGAAGTTGCCTGCCTAACTCTATACTTCCCATTGGATTACAAGCTGGAAGCACAGATGCTATAGTCACAACGTTGGGAGTTACGTTCTGCACAAGCATCTGCCTAAAAGTAATGAAAGCTTCCTCAACCAATCCATTTTGGGTATACCCAGCAATCATAGCATTCCAAGTGGCTTGATCTCTGTCTCCAGTATTGTTTCTCTCAAAAATTTGTTGAGAAGCTCTAATCAAACCAGATTTTGCATACATGACTATAAGATAACTTGCCATTCCCTCAAACTGAATGCCATGCCTTAAGAGATAAGCATGGGTCTGCTTTCCAATATCACGGTTTCTCAGATTTGAAGCTGCTGAAAGCAAAGCAGTAACAGTAACGGAATCAATCATAAATTGTTGCTTCTGCATCTCATACACAAGCATTAATCCTTCATCATCCAACCCATTCTGAACAAAAGCAGAAATCATTGTATTCCAAGAAACAACATCCCGTTCCGGCATATTATCAAAAACTTTAAATGATGTATGGACAAAGCCGCATCTTGAATACATGACAATAATGGCATTCAATACAATAACTGGCAATGTTGCCAAATTCTTAATTATATAGGCATGCAGCTGTTGAGCTAAGGCCAATCGCTGCAACTGTGAAACTGCAGTTAAGACCGATAAAAAAGTCACCTCATCAAAACCAATTTCATCTGATAACATAGCTTCAATGAAAAGCTCAATAGCTTCGACAGGAGAACTACTCTGTGCATACCCACCGATCATAGTGTTCCAAACCTCAGTATTTCTCTCCAAACAACAGTCAAAAATCTTCCTAGCGAAATCAAGACAACCAAGCTCAGCATACATAAAAATAGCCGAACTCACAACAAACAAATCATTTACATATTCACTTCCCAATTTAACAAGCAGTCCATTAAGTACGTTACCATTCTTATAGTCCCCTAAACTCGACAAAGCCGGGAAAACATTAACAAAACTAACAGTACTGGGTCTAATTCCCTTCACCATCATCATCCTAAATTGCCTAACCGCTTCTGCATATCTCTCTGTCTTTACGTACCATGAAACCATTGTATTCCAAGCAATAACATTTCTCCTTTTCATCGTATCAAACACTTTACAAACTAAATCATACTTCGAATAATCAAAATCAGAATAACCACACCCACCAATTTCACTATCCGCCACAGAACTCAAACAAGTAGAGTACATATTCAACAGAGAGTTATACACAATCTTACTGGGGTTCAATAAGCCCCTAATAAGATGGCAATGAACAGCTTTACCGACTCTCAAATTGCGTGTCGCGGCACAAGCCTTGAGAGCCGAAGAGTAAGTATAGTTATCACACAAAGTATAAGGAGCGGATTTTTTCATCTGGGCATAGAACAAAATGGCATCTTGTGGCATTTTGTTGCAAATAAAACCGATAATGATGGTGTTCCAAAGGACGGTAGTAGGGCGGGGAATTGTGTCGAACAGTTGGCGGGCTAAATGAGGTTGGCCTTCCTGGCATATTTTACTCAGGCGGGAACGAATTGTGGGGGTTTTGAGTTTGGGAAGGGGCGGTGAAAGGGAAAGGGGTGGCGGAAAAGTGGTGGGCGGTGGTGGCGGCGGCGGAAGAGGAACAGAGGAGGCCATGGATGGATGAGTGAGTTTTGTTGGCAGTTTTAAGGCTCTGGTTTTCTGTTATCCTTTCAAACTCGTCAAAAGGCTTTACAATCAACTAAAGTGCTTTTACCAAAAGCACTTTTTTATTCATTTATTTAGACTAGGGTAAATTACTAAATTCTAATAATTTTTAAATAGATTAAAATTATTTTTGTGGTGTAAATTTATTTCATTTTTTTATTTTATTGTTAATCCTTAATTACAACTTCTATTACTGTATATGTCAGGCTTTTCCATGACCAAAAGACTTTCTGTGTAACATGGTTGTCGGTTGATTGATTTCATATACGTATCCAACAAGACCACTACTTTATCAAAGGAGTGGTCCACATCCTTATCCACTACCCAGAAGAAAAGAAATCACAAATTTTCATTTCATTTTCCTCTGCCATCGCCAACAATGAAGAAAGCTGAGCTTGTGTTCATCCCTATAGCTGCTGCAGGCCACTTGGTTTCTGAAGTTGAGTTTGCACAGGGATTGCTAGAGCGAGATGATGGACGTTTCTCAGTGACTATTCTTCTCATGGATCCTATTCTTGCTGGAAATCTTGTTACACATACGTTTTATAAATCACTTGCAGAATCTAATTCTGCAATAAGGTTCATCAATCTTCAAAAGATGCTCATAAATCTGTAGGAAAGTCTGGGGTTGAGTTCATAGATTCTCATAAAACTTGTGTTAAAGAAGCGATTGTCAAGCATGTGATTTCCAGTTCTAATTCAGCTACTCTTGCTGGGTTGGTAATTGATCATATGCCAGCAATTTACACAGTCGGACCAGTTATTGATGTAAAGGGACGTCAGAGTGATGAGACAGAAAAAGCTGATGAGATAATGAAATTTGTTCTTGGAAAGAACAAAGGACAAGGGTTTGGTGTGTGGACGGGCACCGCAAAAGGAGGTGTTGGCTCATAAATCAGTGGGAGGATTTGTGTCACATTGTGGGTGGAATTCAATCTTGGAGAGTTTGTGGTTTGGTGTTCTAATTGTGACATGGCCTATGTATGCTGAGCAGCAGCTTAATGATTTCCAAATGGTGAAAGATTTGGGATTGGTTGTGGAGTTGAGAGTAGATTATAGGATCACTAATGGGGAAGTAGTATTGGGAAATGAAATAGCAAGAGCTATAAAATGTGTGATGGAGAGTGATAATGCAGTGAGGAAGAAGGTGAAAGAGATGAGTGAAAAGAGCATATAAGCAGTGATGGAAGGAGGATCTTCATTTGCTGCATTTGGACGCTTTATTGATGATGTATTAGGAAATATGTCATTAATAAAGAATAATCTTAATTATCTTTAATAAAAGTTATACACAATCCTATTGGGTTCAATTAACTTCTTTCTCTGTTATTATTTACTGGCTAACTTTTTTATAAACTTAAATGCTTTAGCAGGAATTGGGGTTAACAAGACTCGGTACTTCCAACTCAGAATCTGAGTCTTTGAACTCAATAATGTGTTTGTTCTGCTCATCATAAAGAGCCTGCGCGTGAAGCATCAAACCAGATAACCCGCACTGGACGTGAAGAAAAAATAGATAAGAACTCCATGCTATCAGCAAGATCGATATGTGGTACAAACAAGTCGAGAAACAAACCCGGCGAGTCGAGGTGGTCATGGGAGGCTGACTTGGATGTGAACAAGCTTAGAGACGGCTTCTTTGACGAGGGGTTTATGACATTCAATGAAAAAGGGAAGAATTTTTTGGGGTGAAACCTGTAGGATCATTGGGGAGATGAAGGAAGCTGATGCGGCGCCAGAAGAGAGTGAGTTTAGATAGAGTGTAACTTTGGAGTCGGAGGGTATTTATGACGAGGACCGTGATGGAGATGCGTTGGTGGCGGTTGAGGAGGAGCTTGGCCAACTCACGGTGCAGCCGAGGTGGCCTACGCCTGGTGCAGGAGAATGAAGACGAGCTCTGGCTTTGTTATTCATTGAACCTATTGATTGTGATGTTCGTTCAGTATTGTGAGTAAATTCAATGAAAGTTATACAGAGATTGAACTAAAATTATTATTAATGAAAAAGAGTGGGCAAGTAATGTTGATTATTTTCTGAGACTCAGTAAGTTGTTCACAGCATGTGATAATTAAAACCAGTAGACTATATCTTAATTAAAAAGTATTCATCAATCATCGAGGTCAAAGACAAAATAATTTATATTGTTATAGAAAAAATAAATGTTCATGTTACGTAAAGGTTAAAGTGATAAAGCGAAGACAATTATTAACTAATAATTTATTACTTAATGACATTAGAAGTAGGTAAAGACTGAAGGCGCGGCTTTGATACAGGCATAATTTGCATTTGCTTCAATTCAGGCACTGAACTTCTCACATGGATTAATTTTCAATCTTTGTCATTATCTTCTGAGTTTATTTTCATTAAACTGAGAGACGGCCTATATCAGCATTTTTATTTAGAAGATGATGCGGTATACGGTAAATAGGTCTTTTTGAGTTCCGGATCCATGTAAGATATTGAAAACTCTGTTCCGAGGAGAAGGAAATAAAAGCAATAAAAAAAAGAGAACAAAGGAAAGTATGCCAATGTCAAATCTTGTCTAAATAGTTTTTCCAACTTAATGATGTCATATTTCATTGAATGGGTTTCACATATCGCTTAGATGAAATGTAAAATTGTCCTATATAATTATTTTTTATTATACATATATACGACATAGGTGAAATTTTTCGAATATGTTATTTGTTGACGTGGTACTGTTGGTGAAATTTGTCCCCAATGCTAAAAATCAACCGGTAACCTTTGAGGTTTCAAATTTTGAAACTATTGAAATTACCATTTTGACCTGAGTTTGATGCAAAATAAATTGACATTTATATAATGAAATTTTGTCAATTTAAACCCAACAAGAGAGTAGATTGAAAATCAAAATGCAATTCGCGAATTGTAAACAAAAAAGAAAAAAAAAATGGAGGGCATACAAAGAACTTCAATTGGTAGAAAAAAAACTAGTAGGTTTTATAATTGGGAGATCACAAAATGGAGTTAAAATCACTTCATTGTCAGTCACAATTCACATTCAAATATACAAAGCCAATTCATTGTCATCGTACAATTCCATTCAAAAAGTCAAACCAATTCAATCTCATTCCCCATCATGCCACCATCATAAATCTAGACCAGTATTTGATCTGTCTAGGTGACAAAATGGTAAATAAAAATCAGGTTTTAATTCTGGTGCTTCTTGTACTACAAACCCTTCTGATCTCCAGGGTTATGACCCGAAACAGATTAAAACAATAACTTTTACTCAGAATTTCCACAAACTTATAATACATACGTAATAAATTTGTAGTTGAACATATCCTAAAAACGACACAGGTCATGTATGGAGTTCAAAATGAAGCATCATGAAACAATATCAAAATTCCTCATACGCCACATATTTACAAAAGTAAAAGAGTCGAACCTCAACATTTTATGCTGCAACCATAGAAATTCAAAAAAACATTACATTTCCACTTTCAGCAATCTACTGCAACTAGAAGCGAACAATTACTCAGAATTTATCCTCCATGGAAGCAATTGGCATAATTCATTCACACTAAATCACACACATAAAAGATCCCTAGGATTCAAGGCTAACAAAGAGCTCAACATTAACAATAAAGCAAAACAAGTGTAAAATGCAATCTTATAGAAACAACGACAGGCAATTGAACAATGGGACATAATTTAGAAGCCAAGATTCCAGTGTCACCTGAGAAAATAATTTGATCATTATAAAATAGAATAATATATACATACTATATATACTAAAGTATGTGAGCCCATCAATCCAGTCAGCCTTCTACCTCTACTTTCTGCAATAACCCAAACCCACATGCATGACCATAGTCTAAGCTGAATCAACAACTCACATTAGCTTAGATGTAGCTGTACTGCATTTCCATAGGTTAGTTGGATCTGATTCAATGCTTCGCCTCTGATGCTGATCCACTGGATGCTGTTGAGACTACCTTTGCTACTTTTTTCTGGGTCGATAAATTGGTGAAGCTTCTGCCTTCCTCGCTTCTGCTCTACCCGCCTCTGCTTGCTCTGCCCCTGTTTTTTAAACTATTGGCGGGCTGCTGTTTCAGATCATTATAAGTCTTGCTCAATTCAACATCGAAAACCAATTAATCTTATGAAAAGCTAAGTACGTTAATTATAATTAACAAGCAAAAAGACAACAAGAGTCATCCTTTTTGGAGCTGAGCTTAATGTAATTGTCCTCCAAATCATTCCAGCCGAGATGTTCAACCCAAAAGAATCCAATTACCACCCAAAAGCAAGTCAGAGATTTTCATTACGAAACGCCCATTTCAGGTTCCCACCAATGCATTCGGCTAAGCTCTAAACTAACATGCAAACTTCAATTTTTTTCCCAACCGATACATGCAATCCAGTCAGCCATAGTTCACAAAGACTTCAGGCTTTATAAATTGTCAGCTAAAAGAAAAGGAATTGAACATGCAACACATCAACTCAAACCGGTCGAACAAATAAAGCAATTTTGCATCACACTCACTAACATATATGCATCAACACCCCAATAAACTTCAACACATTACGTCACAAACAGAAAATCAAACTCTAGAAAAGAAGTTTTGGAATCATAGATACTAGGAAGGACAAATGAAAGCCTAAACAAATTTTAAAAAGGGATCAGAAGACCAACTTGTCACAGAAGTCGCCGAAAACCTCGCCGTTTGCCGAAAAAAGTCCCTGTCAACAACCCTTAACCCCTATCGTTAACACTATACACGAACCCAAACCCTAAACTCGCAAACAGCCACTCACTGCCAGTCTACCTCGCCGTAACACTACCGGTCATCGTAAATAGCCACTAGAAGGCAGTCGAAGACGTCGCCCAAACCCAAGAGTCTCCGCTTCAAGAACACGCATAAGTCGAATGACTACTGCCTTTCTTTTACAGTTTCTTTCAAATGTCAACTCTGATAGACACGTGTCAACGCCCAAGCCCTATACTTCATTTCAAATTTAATTTTAGATTTAAATATTAATTAACAATAATGTCTTTACATCACAAAAAGGGAGAACGACTTATACATACCCAAGATTTATCATAACGACAAGTTGGTATCAAAGATTTTGAAATGACAAATAGGTACTTTCCGTCATGTTCTTTTAGTGATTTCTGTTTATTAGTTTTATTAATAGTGAAAAGACTAAAATACCCTTAAAAGTTTGAATTTTAGTTTTTTATAAATTTAAAAATTTCAAAAAACCCCCTAAGTTTACAAATTTCACAAATACCCCAATATATAAAAGTTTTATAAAATAAACAAAAAACACCCCCCACTGGCAAGTGCCAGATTCCGGCCACCACCGCCGGAATCTGGCCGGAAAGTTGCGTTACGACACAGACCCGTCGGATCTGTGTCGTAAGCGTCGATCTGGCCTTTTCCGGAGATCCGTGGCTGATCTGGGCGGAAAAGAGCAGCAGATCTACGGCTAGATCTGGCCGTCGACGCTGCAAAACTCCATCTGCGGCGTCGACGGCCAGATCTGGCAGTAGATCTGGCCTTTTCGGCAGATCCGTGGCGGATCTGGCCTGAAAGGCCACATCGGCACTTTACGACACAGATCCGATGGGGATCTGTGTCGTAATGCAGTTTTTCGGCCAGATTCCGCTGGTGGCCGGAATCTGGCATTGGGTGGTGGGGGTGTTTTTGTTATTTAAAACTTTTTATATATGGGGGTGTTTAATTAAATTAGCAAACCTAGGGGGTTTTTTGAGATTTTTAAATTTATAAAAAACAAAAATTGAAACTTTGAAGGGCATTTTAGTCTTTTCACTATATAAACAAAAATCATCAACCGAATATGACGGAAGGTACCATTTGCGTTTCAAAACCTTTTGGGTACCAACTTGTCATTACAGTAAACTTTGGGTATGTACAAGTCTTCGCCCTCCACAAAAACTACTACCGGAACTGACAATTGGGTGGAAAAGTCATTAAGGCAAACCTTGTGTGAGAAAAAAAATCGTTTACTCGAAATAAAAACAAAAAACCAAGAGAATCCATCCAAAGTATGCCAATGTCAAATCTTATACATGAAATGTTTTTCCTGTAATTTATTCCAAATTGCTAATCACATCATCGATGAAGCAACCCAATGACGTGATGAAGATCCACCTTCCATCATGGCTTTCTACTCTTTTCGCTCATCTCCTTCAAGTTTTCCTTTGTTATATCAGCTCATCAATTTCCTGATCCCTCTCTCTATCTCCCAGCGCTCACAATCACTTGTTTCTCTCCTGAATAATCCTTCCTGTAATCCATTTAATTTCAACCGCTAATCCCAACTCAATCACCATTTCAAAGGATTCAATTGTTGCTCGTTCCTATAGGCAGTCGCAATTGGAACGCCAAACCATATGCTCTTAGTGTAGAATTCCACCACAGTGTGATACGAACCCTCCGATCGCTTGTGGGCTAAGATTGACACTTGGGGAGCCCATCCGATTACTTTTCCAATCTTGACCTTCGATCAAGAAATCCTTTTGGCAGCACGTCGTTTGGATTTGTGTAGTCACTCGGTATGGGGAACTGACCCTTTGGGGAGGTTGACGTAAGGACCATAAGAATCGATGCCACTCTGCTCGAGCGCACAGGCAATCTCTTTCACCTGATCCTCATCGAAACTTCCCATGCTCCCGAAGCATAGGAAAACAACCGACGATGGCGGCTGATCATCAAGCCACTCCATGATCTCTGCTTTTGTTTTGGACCCACCTGACCCTAAATCAATGCTATCACCTCAAGATTCAAAATGGGTCCTACAGAATAAACGGGTGGGAGTTGGTTTCACCATTTGAGAAAGACTTTATCAATTGGATTCCAGCTCCATAAATGAATTTACAACAATACCCTTAACCCTTCGGAACCTCTCGCTTGCTCAAAACACATCATAGACAATCTTTCTCCAAGTACGCAGAAGGCAAACCTTAGCAGGAATTGGGTTAACGAGACTCGGGACTTCCAACTCAGTATCCGAGTCTTTAACTCAGCGGTGTGCATGTTCTGATCATATAAAAGCCTGCGCGTGAAACATCAAACCGAGAGACCCTGCGCTCGATGTGTAGTAAATATAGCTCGGAACTCCAAGCTCATCAGCAATATCGATCATGACTGTACAAAACATGTCGAGAACGAACCCGGAGTCTGGGTGAGTCGGAGGCTGATTCGGAGTGAAGAAGTTAGAGACAGCTGCTTTGACGAGGGTTTATGAGATTCAATATATAAGGGAAGAATTTTCTGGGATTGGATCCAGGAAGTGGAAGGTGATCGTTGGGAAGATGAACGATTGATACGGTGGCTCACGAGATTGAGTCGAGGTAGGCGTTGACTTTGGAGTCAGATGGTACTTTCATGACGAGGACGGTGATGGAGAGGTGGTGGTGGTGGTGGACGGGAGCTTGGCTAGCTCCAAGGTGGAGACGAGGTGGCCGATGCCCGGTTAGGAATAAAGACGAGCTGAGCTTTTCTTCATTGTGTGGAGATTGATGAGCCCTTTTGTGGTTGTGAGTAAAATTATATGAAGCTTTTATGGATTTACATACGTAAATAATTGTAAATGATGTCACTGCTTTGCTAACAGTGAAAAGAGAGAGACACGTGTAACTCATGCAATGAGTGCGCTGGGTATGCATGTCACTGCTTTGCTAACAGTGAAAAGAGGAGAGACACGTGTAACTCATGAATGAGTGTGCTGTGTATGCCATGTCATCATACAAGCATAACTATGAAGGAGTATATCCCATACGTGACTAATAAAATCCAATGAAATAGTGACACGTGTTATTAAATGACTCTTCACCCGCCTATGAACTTGTTAATCAATAACTACCTTATATGTTCATCAATAACTAACACAGTGATGTGATTATGAAAACTAAATTACTTAGATGAGACAATGAAACTACCCTACATAAATATTTTTCTTCAACATCTATACGATATAAATGAAATTTCTCGAATATCTTTGTATTGCTGAGGTGATAAGTATTTATTTTTTATTTTTTTAACCACATTGATGAAATTTCATGAACACTGTTACTTCATATAAATTCAGTGTGAAAGTAATAGAAGAATGTTATTTACATGCTGGAATTCATATGAAAAAGTTCAGCATCACTTCATATGAACTTGAATGTCGGTTGAGGGTTAAGTTCTGTAGCTCCTTCAATCTCTCAGGTTTAATTCATTTGGTCTGCAGGAACACTGGTGCAAACTGGCAGAAGGCGGTAGATGGCGTCGACCCCTTGGCAACTCCACGATCATGCTGCCCGATTGCAGATGATGATGTGCTAGAGCGAGAATATGGTCTTATTGAGTTTTGCAATCCATGTAACATTCGTTCCTGTCACAATTATAATTGATATTTTCAATAAAAGGGAAAATGAAATTACAATTTTTGAACTAATTAATCTTGTGAACATCCATTAGAGTATCACATCGACAACTATCAAAAATTGTTTCAAGGAGAAGGAAACAAAACAAAAGACCTAGAGAATCCAAAATAGGCATTTTCTTCTCAACTTAGTGAATGTCAAATCTTATATGTCAATAAAAAAAAGGCTATAAACTTTTGCTCGGGTTTATCGTTTTAAAACTTATTCTTGTCTAGGATCAAAATTAGTTCAAATTTCCCTTTCAATCATCCATCATTCAAGCATAAGATCCAAACTCTCCATATTACCAATTTATCTACCTGAAATGGTTTCATATGTTGAGATATGAAAAGATGTCTAAACTATCAGCTTAAAGAAATCCTAACAGTTTCAAGAATAAAGTATCTAAAACTTAAATAATAGAAACTATATGACAATTTTTTCTACATTTTTATATAGTTCTCAGTTGAATCTTTCATTTTCTTCTTTGTTTGCACCTGAAAGACGATTCTATGATAAAATTTAGGTAAGGTCACTTTACAATATGAAGAAAGTGCTTTGATCACAACAGAGGAAAGAACATAGAAGATATCCATAACTAAGAAGCAAGAGAAAGCAGCCACTGCAGTTAGGAAAGTGTCAAAGATCCAATAAAGAAATCATGCACCATATATAATAACGCCCCGTTGCTGCTGAGCAAGAGAGTGATATAATTTTTTTAAAGGCAAATCTTTACATCATGTAGGATGAGAGTTTTTCTGTATTTACCTGATCAATGAGATAGACCTGTTTGATAAAGTGAGCAGTTTATTCAGTTTACTCTGATTTAGTCTCCATTGCTTAACTTGACCACTGAAGGCCATGCAACATCCAGATTATTTGCGTCATCCTAAACACTGAGCTGCTCAACTGAGCAAGTTGAGCAGTGATCGAAATTGTCTCGGATTACATTTCCTGGAGCAAAAGAGAGCGATACTTCAACAGCCAACATTTTTGCAGCTAGGGTCTTCACTAAACATGGTTTTCATTCTCCCATTTCAAAGTCTATAACGACTATTCCGGTTCATTCATTAAACTGTGAGATGGCATCTAGATTGGAGCTTTGGCTGGCCTATAACCAGCATTTTTCATATCCATGGCTAATCCTTCCAACATCTCATATATCTCATCACTTGCGGATGTCTTGATCCTTAGACGCAAAACGGTTCACATAACCTCCAGTATCAATCCAAGAACATCCAACTTCTTTTCTCAACCCTCTTTTTCTCATCTCTTTCCTTACTTTGTCACATTTTCCCAGTTTCCTTCTCGCCTGATATTTGAGAGCAAACATGATAGCCCGTCATTCTGTTTCTTGTATCTAATTCAAGCAACTTTTGGCAAAACTTCTCCAATTCAGATTTTCCATGAAGTTTGCAAGCACCAAGAAGTGAACCCCAAATTCCAACACATTCCCCTCTTCACCTAATTTTTGGACAAACTCATAGGCTTCAACCACCCTCCCAACCCTACCTAATATATCCGCAACACAACAGTAGTGCTCAGTTGAGGGCTGAATCTTGTATTTACTCTCCATCAACTCAAATATTTGAAGACCTTCATCAACCAAGCCAGCATAACCAAGCAGACAACACTGCAACAAAAGCAACAGCATCAGGTTCAATGTCACATTCTGCATTTTATGAAACAAAGAGAGGCTCTTTCGCTCATCCCATGACCATAACCCAATATCATGTGTGTATATGGACGGATTTTTTTCAGAGGTTTGGGCAAACACATTTTCAGCATAAGAATTGACCCTGCTTAGAATACATATCAACAAGACAGAGCCTACAAAGACATTTGGGTCCAACAAATGGCGGATAGAAAATCCATGAGTTGCCTGCTAACTCTATACTTCCCATTGGATTACAAGCTGGAAGCACAGATGCTATAGTCACAACGTTGGGAGTTACGTTCTGCACAAGCACTGCCTAAAAGTAATGAAGCTTCCTCAACCAATCCATTTTGGTATACCCAGCAATCATAGCATTCCAAGTGGCTTGATCTCTGTCTCCAGTATTGTTTCTCTCAAAAATTTGTTGAGAAGCTCTAATCAAACCAGATTTTGATACATGTCTATAAGATAACTTGCCATTCCCTCAAACGAATGCCATGCCTTAAAGATAAGCATGGGTCTGCTTTCCAATATCACGGTTCTCCAGATTTGAAGCTGCTGAAAGCAAAGCAGTAACAGTAACGGAATCAATCATAAATTGTGCTTCGCATCTCATACACAAGATTAATCTTCATCATCCAACCCATTCTGAACAAAAGCAGAAATCATTGTATTCCAAGAAACAACATCCCGTTCCGGCATATTATCAAAAACTTTAAATGATGTATGGACAAAGCGCATCTTGAATACATGACAAAATGGCATTAAATATGACTTCACAATCATCTGGTTCTCTCCCGAAAATTCCTTCCTATAATCCATTTTAATCTCCACCGCTAATCCTAACTCAATCACCATCTCAAATGCATTAAATTGTTGCTCCGCATACATCGGCCACGTCGCCATTGGAACTTCAAACCATATGCTCTCTAGCGTCGAATTCCACCCGCAATGCGATACGAACCCTCCGATCGCCTCGTGGGCTAATATCGACACTTGTGGGGCCCACCCGATCACTTTTCCAACCCCAACTATTCGATTGAGAAATCCTTCTGGTAACACGTCTGTTAGATTTGCGTAATCACTCGGAGTGTCAAACTGGCTCTTCGATTGAGGTTGACGTAGAGACCATAAGAACCGATACCTACTTTGCTCGAGCGCATAGGCAATCTCTTTCACCTGATCCTCAACGAAGCTTCCCATGCTCCCAAAGCATAAAAACACAACTGACAATGGCGGCTGATCATCAAGCCACTCCATGATCTCTGCTTTTGTTTTGGACCCACCTGAACCTAAATCAATGCTATCACCATTCAGATTCAGAATGGGTCCTACAGGATAAACTGGTGGGATGTTGGTTTCACCATTTGAGAAAGAGTTGATCGCATATGATTCCAGCTCAATGAAGGAATTTACAACAATGCCCTTAACCCTTCGAAACCTCCTCGTTAGCTCAAATAGAATCATGGACCAATCTTTCTCCCGGTACGGAGAAGGCAAAACTCTAGTAGGAAATGGGTTAATGAGACTAGGTACTTCCAACTCAGAATCCGAGTCTTTCAACTCAGTAATCTGTCTGTTCTGCTCATCATAAAGAGCCTGCGCGTGAAGCATCAAACCCAGAAAACCCGCACTGGGCGTGAAGAAAATATAGCTAGGAACTCCAAACTCATCAGCAACATCGGCCATGCATGCACAAAACATATCGAGAACAAACCCGGCGAGTCGAGCTGAGCCATCGGAGGCTGACTCGGAGTGAACAAGCTTAGAGACGGCTTCTTTGACGAGGGGTTTATGAGATTCAACGAACGAAGTGAAGAAGCTTTTGGGGTTGGATCCTTG